ACTTTCACTTTAATTAATGTACACGGATGACTAATGTACAATGATGGTCGCGTCATGCTATGAATTAATGCGAATATACTGCGAATGCGAATGATGCGATTAAGAAAAAAACAAACTAATATTTTAAAAAACAAAAAAAAATTTATTCAAGATTTCAAATGAAAAATTAAGAAATTAAGATGTGTGTTTTCAATTACAAAATTAAATAAAATAATCAAAAAATAAGAGAATAATAAATTATTTCAATTCAAACAATAAAATTAATAAATTGTTTAAGATTTTATTAAAAGTTTACATACAATTTAAAAAAAAATAATATTTTTTATTCAATAAAGCAAAAATTTCTCAAAAACTTTCCTATTTCTTAATGAATTATTAATTAATTTATATATAATATAAAAAGTTGCATAGTTATTAAAATTTAATATTTATAAATTATGAATTGAAATTATTTCCAGGTTGATTTCAATTTAAGATGCGGTACAATGCACAATATATTATGCTCAAATATTAGAAATAAAATCTTAAACAGATTAAAAATAAGATTAACCAACACAAATTTTTAAATCACGGCAATTTTTTCTCTATATTATTTAATTAAATATTTCTGGCACACATACTCGTATGAATAAACATTTGTGAACACATTGTGTATAATTTGATTTTAGACGATAAAATGTTGTAAAATTAAAAATTTTAAAATTTCAGCATTTTCAAGCTTGCTTTCCTATTATTTTTTTCTATTTTGTAATTGATATGGGTTGCATTATCTGATATAAAACATAAATTTTTAAAATTTTTAAAATATTTCTAATGTTACACAAGAATGCATTTTTAAAAACTTCATAAAATTTTATTGATTTATTTTTATTAATTAAAATTTGTCAAATGTAAATTTTTGCTTTTGTTGAAATTTTCCCATGATTCAGAAAGATTAATTACTTAAAATATAATTAAGATTCTTCTTCCTGTTTTTCTTAGATCAAAAGTGTCTTCTGTTTATATTAATAGGCAACTCTAATAAACTACATCCTACAACATACTTGAGTTACGGTTTCAGGTTTTCTATATGTTTTCCTTTCTGTATATGTTTAATTTTAATTAATAAAAAATCTGAAATTAGAACAAAAAGATATCAAATATAACACTTTTTTAACTTGAAGAAAAAATATAATTTTTTTAAATTTCCACATTTTGTTGTCTTGCATATCATTTGTTGTCCACTTAACTAAAACATTCTTTTATACTAGGTATCTACAGGAGCTTATATTTGATCTTATATATAGAGAAATTTATAATAGGTTCTAAATCCAATAAAAAGATCTCAATTAAATAAAAACAACTGCAATTTATAGATTTTTTATATTATACTGGAGTAATTTTGGAGTCGTTTCTGTTCTGCAGTGTACATGTATGTTAAGTTTATATTATACGAACTAATGAAATATTTTATAGAATTATTAAATTTATATATAAAGGTACCTAATGCAATTTTAAAACTTTGTAATCAAATTTTTGTTTTGTTGACCCTATGGCAATCAATTATTTGGAATTTTGCAAGAATTTAAAATATAGATTGTTTTAAATTTTATAAAATTATTAATTTTTTCAATAAAATTTTTAAGTTTGTAATATAAAATCGGTTCCACTATAAGTTAGCAGAATAAAGAGATTTCGTTCTAATTATCTAATTATAGTTCTTCAGTCGTAGTTTTATTCTATTGTGTTCGATTTGGTTTCCTATGGAATTAAATAAGTTTTTATTGAAATTTGTGTTACAAAATGAAATTTTGCATATCTAAAGTGTTTAATATAAAAAATCAAATTAATTTTACTACAACATCACTAATAAAATTTGTTTTAAAAACATTTTGAAAAATTGTTAGATTTTCTATATTAATGAACAATGCAAAAAAAACTCATAATTGGATTACTAATTTAGAAAAAAAAACAAATATAAATCAAATCAAAGTATTTTTTTTATTCTCTTTTGCAATTTAAATTTGAAATCATAATGCTGATATTTAATTTTTTTCTCTCTAAAACTTTATATTAGGAATCCAATAATTTTTCTAATAAAAACATTAAAATTTCAATAAATTATGCAAGATTTCTTATAATCGAGTGATTTTGAAATGCGATAATTAAGATGTTAATGTAGGGAAAAAAATTCAATCTAATTTTTAATTTCAAGGTCTAAAAGGCTACAAAATCGCATCTGTTTTATTTGTTGTTGCTAGTAGATTTTTTTTTGTTAAAAGTGCAGCAAAACTTCAAATTATTGTTTTGATCCGTTTGAATACCTTTATACCAAAAACAAAAAATGTTAAAGAACAAAAAAACAAAACCAATTTAAGAGAAAAAATTGTTTTATAATTGGATGGCGAACAAACAGAGAAACAAACAAATTAAAGCATTAGTAATTAAGAATTATAAATTTGTTAAACGACTAAAACAAAAAAAAAACTGACCTTCTTTGTGCAAATAAAAATGGTATATTGGCGAAAATTTTTTTTTTGGTTTTTCCTATATGAAAATTTTTATTAACCTTTGTATTTTTTATTACCGATTAATTTCGATTTTGAACAATCGAAGGTACATATACGAAAATTTTCTTGACTATTCGCGAAAATAACTTATAATATTATGTACAAATACCTGTATGTATGTATTTTATTTACATTTGTGTTATTGACAAAACGAATGTAATTATTTTACTGTCTCATTTTTACAAATTTTGTTTTGCATTTCATTATTAACGTAAATTTATTCCCGTTGATTTTTAATATTGTAAATGTTTGTTAATTTTAAAGGTTACACCTGATTTCCACCTCTTGTGTAATATTTTATAGGTAAATGGATTATGAATATTAAAAAAAATAATTAATTATTTGTTTATTTTACCGTTTTTCTTATGTTATAAACGTTGCATACATTGTATACGTTATATACATTTGTAAGGGTAATTTTGAAGGGTAATGTAATAACGTGCATGATTGGATAGTTTATGTATCACATTTTTAATATTCCATTTATTCTACAATATAATTGGTTACGTAAATTAATAATTTTTAGTAAAGGCTTAAAATTAAAATGATTTCATTTATTCTATATACGTATATCAGGGACTTAGAAGACTAAGTGGCCTAATCCACACTCTCAAAATTTTAGCTTTTTTGTTAGAAATGTGTAGCTCCCAAAAATACTTTTATTGGCAAAAAAGGCAAATATTTCCTATATTCCTAAACCTAAAATTTAATTTTTTCCAGTTCAGAATCGTTTTCAAAAGTTCGGTATCGGTTGACTTGTGACTTGCACAAAGAAACAAAATGACAGGATGGTAACTGAATTTTGTATATTTTTGGAAAAAATTACATACGCAATATACAGAAAATACCTTCTTACATCTAATTTGCAGGAATGTGTAATACTCTATCACTTTCTTTTACTTGGTAAGTAAAAAGCCTGTAAGTGAGTAAAAAACAAAAGTTTCATCAGTGCGTTTCAAAAAATTCTTATAGTTCTCTTTGACAGTTCAATTTTATAGTTGATTTAATTTTATATAACAATTAATAATTTTAATACGTCTGTTTAAAAAAGTCACGAAATCTACAAAAAGTTATTGTTTTGTGCTTTATATTCAATATTAAAATATTGAAATTTATAAATTGTTGTTAGCTTTTTCAAAAAAAAAACCTTCCTCGCCGTACGTACTCATTACATTCGAATGTATTTTACAATTTGTTATTGGAATTTGCTTATACTCGTATTTTAAAATCAGAATTGTTTTTAAATTTTGTATTTTGATTTCCATTATAGATTTTTGTACTCCCTATGAATTATAATTAACTTTCCAAGTACTTTTATATTAAGTAAGTATGTATAGACATACTTATATATGTATATGCAAATTGTAAATTTTAAATACACTTTTGTTATTTATAGATTTCCAATTTGGTGTTTTATTGTAGCTGATAATGTTATTGTATTGTCATAATTATTGAAACACTTTTTGCAATGTAATTTCTATGCAATTAATTAATTTTACTTAAATAGGTGCTTTTAAACTTTAATTTGATTTTGCATGTATACTTGCATTTCTGTCTAACAACTTTAAATATATTTTCAATTGAATTTAAATAAAAAATGCATATTGATATTAATTCATAATTAATTGAATGCTAATGCGTCATTGATTTAGTTATGTGTGCTGTGTTGCGGAGCGTAATATCCAAGTCAAAATGTAAAATTAATGTAAAATAGAAAATTATTATAAATTCCAAAAAAGTTAAAAATTTTACATTTTTGCATTTATACACAAAACTTTCTAGAAATAAATATATTTATGAACATAATATATATGTATATGCAACTACTTAAAGTTCGTGTACCTTTCTTTGAAATTATAGTCGACAATAATCTTTATTTGAAATCTGGGCCTAGAAAGTGATCACACTTGCAGATTCTGTGACGAAAATTGGGAGACATCGGTGTACATTCTGAGGGTGCGGGGAGCTCACTCACAAGGCAAGGGAAATACTGGGGAATCATGTACTATTTGTGGCAGATAAACTACCTGCCAAACATTAAAAGTTCCTTGAATTCATAAAGGGGATGAATTTTGAGGGGATCCCTTAGGAGAGGGCACAATAGAATGTGCTGGTACGCCATCCAATTTGCACAATCTACAAATACACTTTATTAAAACTGTCACTTTGCGTCATGTATTCGTCATAAAAATTTAATATTTCAATTCAACAAAAAAAAATGATGCTTTCAGGTTATGAATTCAATTTTCTTTTAAACTCGTCCCTCTTATATGACCAATTATTAGAGCAATCGATCAGAGTTTATTTGACTTTTAATTACTCGTATTTGTCACGATTCTTGAATTTCGACTTTCTATTTGAAGTGAAATATGTTAAGATATGATAAGAATTAAGCGTTTAACATTGAATTAACAAAACAATTTTTTGGTTTTTTCTTTTTTTGAATTACAGATGGCTTGTGGAATATCATGTGTTGACAGAACATTAAATAAATCGTTTTTTCGGCTGGGCGTTTTCATTGGACATCATCCAGCATATTTTTTAATAATTCCAGTTTTATTAGCATTACTTTGTATGACAGGGTGAGTTACAAAAATTCTTTACTGTAAAATTTTTGAAATTAATTATAATTATTTACTTTTTTTTTTACAGTTATCAACAATTAAAATATGAAATAGATCCAGAATATTTATTTTCACCAGTAAGAGGAGAAGGGAAGTCTGAACGTGCTATTGTAGAAAAATATTTTAAAGTAAATTATACTCATAGATTTAATGTTGGAAGAATAACGCGTCCGGGTGAGTAAATTATTATTTTGCTTTTCTTTCCAAGTAAATATTCGTGTTTATGTGAGCGTTTACTACCGATGTAATTGACTGAATTTCGAAAAAAACATTAGAAACAAAGGTCGTACATAATACGTAAAAAATTTCATTTGCCGTTGTTAAACGTTTGCAATCTACCGTACTTCACCCAAATTTTGCACCAAGAAATTTCTTAGCATAACTTAGTCACCGTTATTTGTTTAATAGTTTTATTTCTTTCCTATTTTTTAGAAATTTTATCATTAAAGTTTAAATATTAGTCACTTAGTAATGGCGTTTCTTTTGTTAAATCAAATTTCGTGAACAAAAGCGTTAAAGTACCTTTTTTCTTTGTTACTAACCAACTTCCATTTCTAATTATGAACAAAGGATAGTTGATTAAAACAATAACCTATAAGTTCTTTAATTTAACAACTTTTAAACGCATGCATTTTTAAATATGAATAAATGCTTTTGTCGACGTGTCAATATTGTAAAGTTTCATAATTGAATTTTATTATTATGCATATAAAAAGCATTGGAAAATAATAAGGCGATAATGAGCAATTTTCTTTATCGTTAAATTATTCACATGGAATTAAATAGTTTTATGGTTATTAATCAATCAATAAAATAAAAAATTTACGTGCCTTTCATAATATTTTGTAGAAGAAATTCAAAATTTGTCATATACTGTCGCTTTTGTCGCTTTTGTCGTTTAAGTTTTTTGTAGAACCTTCAATCATTTATTCTGAAATTTCTTTTGTTCTTCAATGCTCAATGTATAATAAAAATGTATATGAAATGGTTATGATAAAATTTAACGACAAAACTTGCCCAAATTTTTGCATTCTACGTGACTTTATAGAAATGAATGCTTTTTTTTTACAAATTTCCTTGAATTAAAAATTAAAAAATTAGTCAAGGACAAGAATGTAAGTTAAAAAAAAAACTCAAATTTTTTTTTGCAAATTTTTTGCTTGTAAACGCACATTCAAATTATACTAAAAATGCATGACAAATATTACATGAATTTTTCCCTAGTAGTCAAATAGTATTTTTGTTAGTTTTAACGTTCGAATAACGATTTTTAAATATAATGTTTAGAGTGGACATAGATGAAATTCATTTCAAGAAATCTATTAAGGGAATCTTAGATGCACATTACACTTTATAATTTTTAGTTACTATGAGAGACAAGTGATAATGTAGATAAATAATATGTTTCAGTCGATTATGGCTCAATGAGTTTTCTCAATTTATATTTAACACTCTGGAATAATTTAATAACACCCCATTTAAATATGTAATTTGAACTTTTACTACAGAGTTGTACTTGGTTATTCCTTATTGCATTCAAATTTTTGCTATATACGACAAACCCTGATCAGCACATAACTAACCGTATTTTCGAAATTAATATTATGAATTTCAATTATACATCTGTTTTGATTAGTTTAGTACAAAGTGTCTTTGAAAAATGTAAACTTGGTTCATTGTAGTAATTCATGTTTTAGTTTCTGATTCCACTGAAATATTTCTTTGATTAGCTCCTTAGATATGGTAAAAATAGAGTTTATTTTCAAAGCAGTTATACAAATAGTGGGCTCGTTATATTGTCGTTATATTGTTATACGAGTATAAGAACAATGTATATATACAAAATTTCAAAAAAATATATCAATTACATTTTTGAAAATGTCCTTGTTGCAGGGAGTCCAAGATATAGTCAACAAAATTATGAATTATCTTATCTCCATTTATCCACTCGAAAGCACAGGCAGACAGACAGATGTCTTTCTATTAGCAATTTAGTTAAACATTCTTCATATAAAATTTTTTGTGTCACTACAATACCTGCCTCCTTTCCTTATTATATTCAGTACGATCAGTAAAAAGGCATATTGTGGTAGTTAAAATATTTTCAAACTGCTTCATAAATCCAAGGGTTTCGTTATAATTTCGCATAGGTAGCCAAATAATCCTAACTTAGCAATGTAAAAACTAACAAAAATAATTAAATGATTTTGAAATTTTTTTTGAATTAGAGGAATTTTTCTCATAAAATTCTTAAAAGAAACTTAAAAAAATCCCTAATAAACTTTAAAATCTCGAAAAATTAGTGATTTTCTGTTTGAGTAAAATGAAAGTTAATAACATTCTGTTTTTTTCTTGGTAGCATTCCTGATTAACTTGAGAAGTAGATTTCATTTTATTAAAATTTATGTCTAAATTTTAAGTGCACATAAAACAAAGCACATTTCTGTGCTGTGCTTACTTTTTTTGTTTTAATTTTAATTCGTTTCACTTATAGTGAATTAAGATTTAATTTTCGCCACTATAATTAATTTTTTACATTTTATTTTATTTTGTGATATTAAGTTTTACGAAACTCGAGTATAATCGAATTTGCTGGAATTCGTTTTTTTTTTTGCATGCATAAACCATGCATAATTTGTGTAATACCATAGTGTATAAAAGTTTTGTCTGATTTAAAAATAATTTTTACTATTCACTATAGTAAAAAAAATTGAAATAAATCACTTTTATATATCCAAAGAGGCTTAATAAAATGTTAATGTGTTGCTTTAGCCTAAAATTAAATTAAATTTAAATAGTTTAATATATTAATAAAAAAATAATTTCTATATTTAAAATTATAACTTGAATAATATTAAAATATTACTGGAAAATCTTTGTATTTTAATTAGAAAAATAAATTTTTTTTTAAGACTTAACGATTAATTTTTTTTTAAGAGCTAACGATTTTTATACACTATAATTGGTTGATTTTTTATGGAATTTTAAATTGTTGCGTTAGTATCGTTTTAGGCATATCAATGAAATTTAAGTGAATTTTTAAAATATTAAAAATAATTTAAAGTATTACTTGACTTACCTTACATCTTTTCCCCTTTGTTTATTGGAATATGCACAAAACATGCAGGGGGGTGGGAAAGTCTAAAGAAAAAATTTTTAAGTATCCTTAAGTTCTATACTGCAATATTAAGATTTTTAATTTTTCTATATAGTAACTAAGAAATTTTAACTTTCACAGTCATGAAAATGTAAGTTATTAAAAGACTACGTGGCAAAATTAAAAGCAATTTGTAAATTCTTTAAATGAAGAAATGATAAAATTTATTTTTTCTATATTATAAAAAATTACCTGACTAATGGTGCAATGGCTATTTCACTGGTCCTTTAACTATAGGGTCTCATATTCACAGCCTGGTTAGGACATTATGAACATAATATTCAATATTCTATGGGTTAATATACACTACATATGAAATAAAACATCGATATTAACTAATTACCATATTTCCATAATATCAAATATTAAAAACACAAGCAAAATAAAACAGTAATAAATAACCTTAAATATTTAATTAAAAAAATTACAATAGGCTCGTCACTTACCTAGGACGCAAGCAACTGGTTCATGATTGTTCTTCGATATCATGCACCAGCCCTATTCGTTTCCTAGGAGCAATGTAGTATAAAAAAAATTCATAAAAAATTAACAATAAATGTCGGACTGTTGAATGACCTCTATAAATTAACCATTATCTCGAAGCGAATTCTAAATTTTTTTTCTACACGTATCAGAGTACTCGTAATGTATATGTGTCGCATATATTAATTCCATTCCGATTTGATACCCTCTAAAGCCTCCTATTCCTTTGTCAATATAACTCTGTGCATTCTCTGTTTCATGAAATGTAACAGTAACCTTTTCAAAATAACAAAAGTGTACCCTAAAATGTTAGTGAAAATTAGGGAGTTTCGATATTTCTTATATACCCTAAAATTTATCCTAAATTTATGCAAAAATCATAAAAATAATTTAATATATAAAAAGAGAATTATTTAAGAAAAACATCGATTTTATTACATGCAGTACATAAATCGTTATATAAAGGGAAATTCGCCATTTCACAAGAACGTGAGCAACTATATGTATGTGACTATGTGCTAATAATTTGTTTCGGAACAGAGATTCAAACCAATGGAATAACATTTTTTGCTGATTATTTTTAAATGATTTTTTTTTAAAACTATAAAAAAATTATAACAAAACTTAATTATAATAAAATACAGAATTCTAATAATATATAGCTAAGATTGCAGCTCACAAATTAATTTAAATAAAACTTACAATTATACAAATTTATGTAATTCTAATTACGTATTTTTTATCTTAATAGTATTGCTTATTTCTTCTAAGTTTTTAATTCAATAGCGCGAATATTTTTTATATGTATAAGTATTTCTTTTTAGAAAAATCATAATTACAGACTTCTTGTACGTTGTACCTATTTTGGGTTTAGAAACACTGAAATAAAAAATAATGAATTTTATGTTTTACATAAAATGAACGCATTATCTACTGTTGATTACTCGATAATTATATTTCTCAATCGTACTGTCAAAATCAATTTAATTATCACTTTTGTATTTTACTGCTACAGCGGCGATTGTATGCAAATTAAATTAAATTAAAAAATACGCACTCAAATTACAATTTCATCACATGAAAAAAAAAAATATTTAAAGTAACAATAAAAAAAAGTGTTAGTGATCTTATCAAATCGCGGTTTTTCTTTCTGACGACAGAAAAAAATTTTTTTTTCTTTTTTGTTGAATTTCTTAGGAAAAAATTTTGAAATTATAAAAAAATGAATAAAAAATAAAATGGAAAAAAATCAACTTTTCAAATATGGACAGCAGTTTAGTGTGCTTTGAATTGAGGTTATCATTTTGACCATAATATAATAATTATCGCATCTTAAGATCAATAATTGTAGGCCAATTTTTAATATTCTCTGAAAATTGAATTTAATTTGTATAGCTCTATAATTTTGCTATTGAATTACAAATAATTTAAATACTTATTTAAAAAAGCATAAGCACCAGTATTATGTACATGTTATGTTATTTTAATATTAAAAATATAAGTATGTAATATCCTTTTCTATAATGTGTATATC